GGGGGCAGCCCGGGATCCCTTCCAAAATTTCTGAAGTGGCCCTTCATTTAAAATTATTGCCCACCCTTGGTCTAAGGCCTTGGCTAAAGGAAGAGTTCAACCATCGTTTTCCAGCCACTGAACATCTGCAGAATTTGCAACAATGTGTATAGGCGGACGAAGTCTGCATTAAGAGTACCCTTTGTATGCAGGCAATAGGCCGTAAGCCACAATTTGCACCAGACCACTTCATTACGGCTTGCACTCAGGAATAAGATCTTCTGTGCAAAGTATGTTTTTAACTAGTTCTGCTTATCAGCGCCGGGTGTTTACATGGATGTGTCTATACTGATCGCTAGGACCCTTCCCTAGTTACAGCCATGAAAAAACACATCACGGACCAGGAAATCTCTGGTCTTTTGTGTGCTTTTACTCTAGCATGCAGATTTAATGGGGGAGACCAGTATTGCTCAAATTAGGAGTCTTGACCCCAAAAAAGCTTATGGCAGGGAGCAGGAGAGGGTGTCGTGAGGGTGCTACCGTTGCTTCTGTGCTGCTCTCAGAGCTGGCCCGCTGGAGAGTGGCGGCTGTTGGCCGGTGTGCTCAGGTCTGAAGGCAGCCCCCTCCTCAGCAGCAGTGCAGACGTAGCGCGGCAGCATCCTTCCTACTGCATTGCTGCCTTCAGAGTTGAGTTAGGATCCCGCAGTTATAACTCTGCGACGTTTCAGATTTAAATGTCTGAAATCATGACATTTCTGCTTTGCAAAATCATATGACCATGAAACTGACCCATATGGACCATGAATTTGATAGGGCCCTCGTGACAGCAGTACACAGTGTTGCTGCATCCATGTGTCTATGCTGATAGCCAGCCTCTAGCTAAATTCAGACAAAGAGCGGAGGTGGGAGCTGACAGCACAAGGAGAGACCAAGGCAAAGCCAACAGCTATAGGCTATCTTGCAATAGAAAGGTTTACTCCAGCAGCGTGGCTTTGTTTGTGTATTCAGGACATCATGGGAATTGAGCTCTCTGAATCAATGTATCTTTCCGGTAAAAAATATTTTAATATAAATAAAATTACTTTCCTTTGTAGCTCCCACCTACGCACAGAACATCTATTATTATTAATTGAAAGTTCAGGAGCAGAGAAAATTAAAAAGCGTATCCTCCTTCCTGCATTCTGGTGTTCCCAGCAGCGCTCTTTGTAACTCTTGCATAATGTGCTCAAACAGATAAGACTGATTGTTTTATTCCTTGTTATGAAGTTCATCCCAGTCAATAATATTGATTAGTGCAGGGTGACTTGACGTAACAAGAATAACACCCTTTCCTTAATTTAAGTCTGTATTTCCTAATTCATGCCTCAGTAGTTCATGGTTGGATGAGTCCTTCAGTAAGTCAGTTAATGACAGACCCTACTGGAAAATGCAGCGTCAGACGTTAATGGGAGAAATGAATAATTTTCTGTATAAGTGGTACATTTTTTTCTCCTTTCCGCATTTAAATTCTGTCATATTTGTGAAGGGGTTTTAAAAGTTAGCTATAGCATAAACATTTCAATTTCATTTCTTTGAGAACCATCCTTTTTTTAATTGGACCCAGAAAATATTTATGAACTGTGTATCCTTAAGTTTCTAGTGCTGTATGTTCACGGAATCCTCGTTAGCACAAAGATTTTCATATGTCTTTAATACACCCTAATTCTCCTGTTGACATTTACATACACATTTATGTACACACCTGGGGAATTGAGTTGAACTGGGAAAGCACTCTAAGTGAAATACCCATGGTGTATGTGGTTAATTCACTCCCCCCTGCACCCATTTTAACAATCTCCTAACAGATATACTATGCTGCTTGCACAAGTATCTTGGACACAATTTTTCCACGTAGAAATATAGCACAGCCCATGCTTGGGAATCCTCAAGTCTGCTCCGGGCTCTGTCCGTGACTCAGTGTCACTTAGCCTTGGTGTGTGTCAGCCTGGTCTACACTACGGACTTTTAGTCAGTATGGCTATGCTAGAGAATCAACACCCCTGAACGACGCAGTTATACCACCCTAGCTCCCGGTGTAGTATGTCGATGGGAGAGCATCTCCTGTCGGCATAGCTCCTGCCTCTTCAGGGGCGTGAAGTTCCAGTGCCAACCAGAGAAGTTCTCCCGTCTGCACAGGTAGTGTGTCAGAGCTACTGCAGTGCCGTAAGTCTACACAAGCCTCTGATTCCCTGTGTATTGAATTGTATTTTTAACATTGACTTACCTAATGGGGACATTGTGAGAATCTTGTAGAATCAATATCAGCACTGAGACTTGTTCTGTATTAGTGTCTTTTGATAGCTGGTCTGGGGACTAGCGCTGGTCCTTGAAATTTTCCTGACATAGTTTAGGAAGGCAGCGAACTAGTCCTGGAATAAGAAGATGGAAAAACACTGTTTTGTGTAACAATACTCAACTGGAAGGCCCACTTCTAGGGTGCAAAGGCAGTTGGCATCTGTCACCCAATTGGTCCCTGGGCTCTGCATTAAGATCATTAACAGAATGACAAAATAGATTTAGCTCTGGTGGAGCTTTTGTGCACCTTGAATACGAGGCGAAGGACCAAGGCATGTAAGCTTGACTCTGAAAAGAAGCTGGGTGGTGTTCATTCATTAGTTCTCAGCTTTTCCCTCCTCACTCAAAGATTCGGTCTTCTTCCTGTCTTGTGAGAGACAGACAAGACAGTCAAATGACATAGGATTTTAGTGGCCCTGGTTTGATTTTGGAAGTATTGCAGATGGGAAAGAGGCGATCAAAATAACGGGACTAGGCTCTATCAATTATTTGTTTAATAATTAGTGGATGATTCATGAGCCGTTACCAGAAGGCCACCAAAATGTCCTTACAAGCATTAGAGCTAGATGCAGCCCAGCTACTGAGTGGCCTAACGCTTGGCAATAAAAAGCCATGAGGAGAGAAAGTTGTGTTGAAGACTTCATTGCCAACTACAAAGTGAGCAGCACTCAGGGTGTGTCTAGACTACAGGGTTTTGTCGACAAAAGTGGACTTTTGTCGACAAAACTATACCTGTGTCTACACTACCGCTGAGTTCTGTCGACATAACGTCGACAGAACTCAGTAGTTTTGTCGATGGCTGTAAACCTCATTTTACGAGGAATAATACCTTTTGTCGACAGAGTTCTGTCGACAGAAGGTGTTATTGCATCTACACTGTCCTTTGCATCTACACTGTTATGTCGACAAAGCAGCTTGCTTTGTAGGCAGAACTGAATGTAGTCTAGATGCTCTTTGTCGACAGAAGCTTTGTCGACAGTATCTGTCGACAAAACGTCTGCCTACAAAAGCCTGTAGTCTAGATGTACCCTCAGTGACAAGGAAAAATAGCCAAAATGCTAGAGTAGTTTAATATTATGAATGACCTAGGCTCCATAGTTTGAAATTTTTCGTCATTCATATCTCAGGTAGAATAGACTCCATCAAGCTTTCTAGTTCTGCTTAGGGTTAGTAGAAGTACAGACTTGTTACTACCAAGAAATACGATGCACCGAATGAGTGACTCTGAGTAAGAAAATGCCATTTTTACAGTTATTTCTCTTTGTATCGGTGTTAAAGCCAATTGTTGGTAGGATTTATCTGTGGCGGTAACTTTGGTATAGATGTAATGACACAAGACCAGCATTTCATTTCTGATTTTAAGACCTTTAGTCCAGATTTTAGCCTGTAAATCACACTAAGCATGTGTATAGGGTACTTTCATACTTTTACTAGTGATGGCCCTTGGATTAGCTGATGCAAGTGAATGTGCCAAATCAGACCCGTTTATTCCTACAAAACAGTTTTTGCTTGTATCTTGGCTCTTGGCAGTGAAGTCACAGGAGTCAAACAATGTGGGAAATGGTTTGATTCTTAAAAGACTTTCCCTAAGATAGCTAAAATAAATCCAAGTTGCTATACAAACAAAATAATATGATATCATATGTTACACAATATAAAAACCAAGCTAGCTCCCAAGAAAGGAAACAGCAGGATGGAAGATATTCACCTGCAATAGTCTCTTGCACTTCAATAGAGCCTTTTATACTACGATCAAAAGCATTTTCCAGACTTTACAGTTAAGTTTCCAAACAGCTCTTAAAGGTAGGTGGTGGTAACGCTCTTGACCAAAGCCTGGCTCTTAGCTCAAGCAATAGAGACTCTCATTCTTTGGAAAGAGGATGGTTCAGTGATTCGGACACTAACTTGGGATATAGGAGGCCGAGGCTCTATTTGCTGGACTTCCTGGGACACCTTGGACAATGACTTTAACTCAGTTCCTCATCAGTAAATGGGAGTAATCCTTCTAGGAGTCTTGCGAGCCTTGTTCCCTCTAATCTTTGCCATCCATATGTGGATTTTTCCCATCTATGTGCAAAAAAAAGGATGTGCACCAATGCACGTGTGAATGTGCACCACCAGTAAACACTAAAAACTTAGCTGTGGACGCTCTGCTAATCAGCCGGCATTTGAGTCTCTCCTGAGCCAGCCATCCAAGTGCACAGCTTACAGGGAACACTGCTTGTGAAGATAGAATCTATTAATATCTGAGCATTTCGTAACTACGATAATGGGGACCATATACTTTCTGAGAAAGATAAGTGAGTAAATTGAGGCAGTCGATGGCTTGGTCAAGGTCACACAATAATTCAGATGCAACCTTGGGAATAGAAACCGGGTCTGACTGATGCTGAATTCTGTGCTAGGTCCGCACCATTGCTAACAGCCGGGCAGAAATACAGTCTTACATTTACTTTTAGTGATGTGATTTTTAGTGATGTGATTCTTGTCTTTATCTTATCCTTCGTTTAGATTTTACACCTTAGGAGCCCAGTTTATCTTAGTAGAACAGAAGAATTGAAATAGGTTCATTTAATTATTGATGCCCGTTGAGAGAGGGGAGGATGACATGATTGCCATTTGCTAATGAAGTTTAGAAAGGGTGTGCTTGGGTATTAAAATTCTTCTGGTATGTTTTTGTTTTCAAGGAGGTCCTGATGATAGCTTAATCGAAGGCGGTGGATCAAAGTTTGTCTGCAAACCAAGCGCAAGAAATATCACTGTCATCTTCCATCCATTACTCAGGTAAGGTTTCATATGTGTGTCTACAAATACGTAATTGGAGCACGTGGAAATAATATGCTTTTCTGAATCGTGATTGTCTTGGAGAGGGTTGTTTTGGTTTGGTTTCGGTATTTTTTTAGTAGAGGGGAATGGTGCTGTCTCTGAAATGAAATACCACAACAGTGATGATGCACTTGCTGTAAAGTTATTCATCTAGATAAATCCATGGAGGATTGGTCCATTAATGACTGTTAGCCAGAATGGACAGGGATGATGACTCTAGCCTCTCTTTGCTAGAAGTTGGGAGTGGACAACAGGGGATGGATCACTTGATGATTACGTGTTCTGTTTATTGACTAGGGGGAAATCAGCACAACAGAGAAGAAAGAAATCCACACGAGAAACAAGTTTGTAGGCTGTCATACAGGAAAATAAGCCTCGTATTACTCTGCACTGATGGCAAAAAGAAAATTCATCACTAAATCACAAGGTGGAAAGTGTGAGATTAAAATTTAACAGCACTGTAATAAGCCTCCTATTTCTGGCACTGGCATTGGCCACTTATGGAAGACAGGATACTGGGCTAGGTGAGCCTTTGGTCTGACCCAGCATGGCTGTTTTTGTGTAAAAAATAAATTATATCCAGGTAGCTTTACACCAGATGCTCACTTCAACTCTTAAAGCTCAGTTTTTTACCTCTTTTGCATCAAACAATGTAATTTATTTATTGATCAGAGCTGGGGAAAGTTTAATCACAGCTTGTGGCAAATGTTTTATCGTTCATTGTCCGTTATGTTGAATAAAAGTCAGAGAAATATTTTCTGCGCTGCAAGGTAAGATAATTTCTCGATAAACAGGTACAACTCATGGCCTGCAAATTAAGTGCCTGGTCTAGGGTACAGCATCAATTATTAAAATACATTAGAAATTCTCAGCTGAAAGCTCATCAAGAGCTGTTGGAAGTTTAAAATGTCTAAGATGAGTTAGTTAGAAATAGAAGGCTTATTACAGTGCTGTTAAATTTTAATCTCACCTTTTCCACCTTGTGATTTAGTGATGAATTTTCTTTTTGCCATCAGTGCAAAATAATACGAGGTTTGTTTTCCTGTATGATAGCCTACAAACTTGTTACTCGTGTGGATTTCTTTCTTCTCTGTTGTGCTGATTTCCCCCTAGTCAATACCAGAACAGACCCCCAAATAGCACCATCTTCTAACATTATTATATTACTACTAAAAATCTATTAGGTTAGTGTGAACTTTTGTAGCACTTGACAAACATTGGGTCTTATCGTGAGAAGAACTGCCCTCTCCGATTGCTATTGGAATCTGAGTCCCGTGGGCATGTATTATTTCTCAGATCAGAGTTATGAAGTAAAGCATGTTCCTAGCCCTGGAGGACCACTCTGATACCTGTTTTCAGTTTGTGTTTATCCCACTAGAAAAGTGGCAATGTTTAGTGATCAGAGAATGGAGCTGGAAGTCAACTCCAGATTTCTGTTACACTCTCTGCAGATGACTTGCTAACTGCTCTTAGGCAAATCACATGATTTTTCTTTGCCTTGATTTCTTCAGCCATAAAGGGGAGGAGGGGGGAGAGAGAGAGAGAGAGAAATATACTATAGATCTTTGATAGGCTTACTGGCTTCGTGAATAACTAAAGAAGCTGTAGATGTGATATATCTTGATTTTTAGTAAGGAATTTGATACAATCCTACATGACAATCTCATCAGCAAACTGGGCATCACCGTCTCAATGAAGTTACGATAAGGGGGTGTGCCTCTGGTAGAAATGATAGTTACCAATGGTTTGCTATGAAACTGAGATGACATTTCTTCAGGCGTCAGTCCTGGGTCTGGTACTAATCAGTATTTGCATTAATGACTTGGATAATGGAGTGGAGAGTGTGCCTATAAAATTAATGGGTGACAGCAAGCTGGGAGGATTTGCAGGCTCTTTGGAGGACAGTATTAGAATTGAAAATGACCTTGACAAATTGGAGAATTCTTCTGATACCGACAAGATGAAATTCAATAAAGACAAGTGAAAAGTGCAGCACTTAGGAAGGAAAAATCAAAGGGACTAACTGGCTAGGTAGTAGTACCGCTGAAAAGGATCAGAGAGGGTTGTAGTGGATCCTATTTTGAAAATGGGTCAACAGTGTAATATAGTTGCAAAAATGCCCGATACCATTCTGGCCTGTATTAACAGGAATGTTGTCTGCAAGACAAAGGAACTCTCCTGTTTTATTCAGCACTGGTGAGGTCTAGGCTAGAGTACTACATCCAGTTCTGGGTGGACCACCTTAGGAAAACCTGGACGTGTTGGAGAGAGTCCAGAAGAGAGCTATGAAGATGATAAAAGACCTCACCAATGATCAAAGATGTAAAAATACATGGGCATGTTTAGTCTTGAGAAAAGAGTGAGATGAGACCTGATAAGTCTGCAGAAATGTTAAGAGCTGTTACACAAAGTTTGGTCATGAAATATTTTCCCTGTCCATTGAAGCTAGACAAGAAGTAATGGGCTTTATTTACAGCAAGGGCGACTTAAATTAAATATTGGGGAAAACTTTTTAGCCATAAGGATAATTAAACTCTGGAATAGGCTTCCAAGTGATGTTGTGGAATCTCCCATTATTGGATGTTTTTAAAATCAGGTCTCAGTATATTTGGTTCTCCTCAGTGTAGGGGGCTAGATTTGATAACTTCTCATGGTCCCTTCCAGCCCTATGTTTCTATGATTCTGAAATAGCCTAGCATTATAAATCTTAAAAAATAAATCCCTGTATATAGCAAGGATCTTTTAATGAAGATTTGTTGTGTGCTTTGAAATCACTGGATGAAAGGAGCTACATATATTCAAATTACTACTGTATGATATTGTATAAACCAATAGCAGTACATGAATTAGATGATTTTTATTAATTTTATTTCTCCCTGGCTTCTTTGTCACAAGAAACAGTGATAAGTAACTTGTTTGCTATACTTCCCCTCTCCCCTTCATTTGACAAGGAGCTTTTGATCTGCATTTAAAATCTTTAATGAATTTACTGGTTATTAATAACTACCATGTAAATAGCTTCAGGAAGTATGTTGCATAAAGTCATCAACCGTTTTATTATGACCGAGAAAGACAGCTAGCCGTTATTGTCATGTTTTAAACCGTGGCGCCACTTTTACTATGGCATGTCGTTCTGGCTGTTCTTCAGTGACACTGTTGGCTTGTCATGGACAATCAAAGATTCCTTTATTGCTGATGCACTTTACGAGTGTGAGGCATAATGAAAACTTCTTTCCCCTTTTTCTCTTCTTACTTCCACCCCATCCCATCCTATCCCTCCCCTACTCCAGTCAACACAGGTGATGCATTTTGAATAGCAATTTTCATGACACACTCTGGTTTCATTACCAGCTTGACGGGTAGGCAGTGGAAATAATTTGTCACAAAAGCCCTTACAACAAGATTTATGATTGAAAGATCTCTGAGTACAATGTGCTTGTCACACGGTGAGAGAGATAGCATTTGCAACATCATAACTTACTTTTGTGGAGCAGCACATCAATAACTTTATGAAGAGGAAAAAATGGCTTTGTGGCAGAAATTATCATTTTAACTTACCACACTCCACACGTAGGTGAGCGTAGGAAGGGGAGAACTACAAATTAGAACTTAGAACTGCCATGATGTGGAGAGAGCTGGCTCCCAACAGCAGTTTGTGGGTTAAAGGGGCCACTAATTTTTTAAAATAAATAAGAAAACCCACTAGAAATGAGGCATTTGGAAAAATGAGAGAAGCCAATCACATTCCTGGCAATGTAGTGATTTGCCAGATAGCCTAGGCTGTAATTTGGCTGCTGACCTTAGAACCAACTGGCATCCGTATGTTGGCATAGAGAGCAGAATTTAATGGACTTCTGTTAAAAATGCTGACATTTGGGAGAACGCAAAGTACACGATTTTGCAATTAGTGTGTGTTTCAGACCCTTGACGATGCTGTATCATGTACATTCTCGTATCAAGGGCCTAGCTATTCTGGAGAGAATTCCTTTAGACTTGCTTATTTTATTTATTTATTTTTATTAGTTTGGGCTTATCTACATGAACATTTAGTTTGTGGAAAGCGAAGATGTAAATCTATCCCCATAACTAGCTTGCCATAGGTTGCCCGTCAGCATGGGTTTTTCTGACACATATTAACAGTTCATTACAACTCTTTAGTCTAGCTGGATTTCAAAAAGACTAGATAAAAATACGTTAATGAACTTGTTAATGTGCACCAGCAGGGTCCACATAGACAGTTATGCAGCAGGGTAATTTAGGGTGGATTCCCACCTTAGCTTGCTGCAAACTAATATTTTCTATTTTTTTATTTAGTTAAATTTTTGCATTAACAGGGATTTTATTTTTAACTCTGATGCTAACTGTTGTTTGTTCAGAAACTGAATGACTAGAATCACTGAGCTGATTCAGGGTCATTGAAGTACCAGTGAATTATTATCACACCCTATTATCACACTCCTGCTACATTTTCCTGTCTGAAAGTGCTGACACTAAATGTCCTCAGTGCTGCATTGAGTCATGAATGGAGGGGTCTAAACCAGAACCCTCCAGCTGGTCCTAGTCCTGCGTCTGAATTAATCTCTCATTTTGTCTTTCTACTCTGAAAAGCAGCTCTGTTAAGTGATTGCACGGGACTCCATGTTTTCTGAGCCTCTGTGATTTCCCAATTAAATAGCTTCAGATGTTGAGCATTTGAGCTATACAGACCTTGTTTTCACGTCTGGGCTGTTGCTTTCACCGGCACAAGCTGGTCCAATAAAAGATCATACCTAAAATATCATTAAAAGACATTGCCTCATCCACCTTGTGTGTGTTATTTCCTGGAACATTGCCACAATAACATTGGGACTTAATAATCAATTCTGTTGATTCACAAGAGACAGTAAAACGAAGTTGGCTTTTCTATAACTGTACCGGTGCTACAGAACCTACAAAGAGTTACAAGTACTAAACACTTG